GATAACAATAATAAATTTGACAAATTTTATGATTTACATAAAGGACAAGTTTCACTTTCACAACAAGTTTCGTGCATCCATTTTTCACATTTGCCACATTGCACCCAATCGCATTTCGGTCCTTTCTTACTATAAAAACTTATGTGGCACACAGGACAAAAGTCTTCACTGGCATATTACCCCAACTCATTTTGTGAAATTTTGCCCCAAATGCACAAAAAAAATGTTAAAGTAAAAAAAAAAGAAAAAATCTTACTTGTTATGTTTTAAAATCAGTGCCGTTATGAAATATTATTAATTCTACACAATATACAAAAACTCGTTTTAAGAAAAACGTATAAATATGATAGAAAATAAACATTAAAGTTAGAGAAAATTGTAGATTCTCAGCAAATTAATTCAACTGTGTCTAGAAAGCAACTGAAAACTACGTCGGCATACTGTAATATTTACGCAGTATGGTCAGCTGTACATAATAAACATCACAATGTTGCTTCTATTGATATCTACTTATAATTATAGCAGATATAGCAAGGTGGCATATTCCTCCGACTCACCTTATACTTTTAAGAAATCTTATACGAGTATAATCGTATTATAAAAATAAGCTCGGTTTAGTGCCATTAGTAATCAAATCTTTTGATTCGTTTACTCATAATTAAGTTATAGATTATAAGAAAACAAAAAAAAACAAGAAATACAATCTAGAAAACGCCAAATCAAATTTTCTAATTTGGTAATAGATACCAAAATATTGTAAAAAAAAAAAATAACAACTATTTATATTAATACTGTTCATCCTTTCTTTCTTTCTTTCTTTTTCTATAAGTCGATTTTTTTTTTTATTAATTATTAATTAATATTGAGATAAATACTAATTAATCTTCATTTGAAATATCTTTTTTATATTATTATTATTATTATGTATTATGTATAAATATATATTACGTTAAAATAAGGTTTATAAATTAAGGTATCATTATTAAATTTATTCTTATTATTATATTAAAAAAAAAAAAAAAGAAAATGATTTTGAAAAAAAAAGTGTTGTTATCTACATACGTTTAATATTTCTTTTAATGTATCGTTATCAAAGCGTTTAACTAAAAGTAATTATAATCTATTAAGTTATCATTGTATAAAAATATTTTTCGTTATAGTACCAAGAATGCATTTATCTAGAATAATTTTAAATCTTTCAAGCGAAATCATTTGTTTTTCTTTCGCACCGTAATACGATATAATATACGATGGAACGATTTTTATCTTTTCTTTTCTTTATTTTTCTTTTCTCGTTAGATATAAACAGATAACTAATAGATAGTTAGATAACTAATTGTCGTATTTATAAGACAATTGAATAAATACAATATAAGGATTCTCGAAACCGTCTTATCATCTCCTCTCTCATAATTTATCATAAAGATAAAAAAAAAAAACCCACACAATAACAGAATTATGGTCAATTTGTATTCAATGAAATTTCATAATTTTAACAAATTTGCACACACTCTCTCTCTCTCTCTCTCTCTCTCTCTCTCTCTCTCTGCACATTAATTACGCTTATTTTATCTACTCAAAAAATATAACTTATTAATAACCCTTAGAGAGTGCTATGGACGCATATATGCGTTTGGTAAAAATTACCAGAGTTGTCTATCGACACATATAAGTGTTTGTTAATATTAATGTAAAATAATGTAATTTTTGTATTAATTAATTAAATTAATTCACACACAGAGAGAAAAACTTTAATTATCTTCTTAATATATATATAAATTACGTGTAACGTTGTTTGTCCGCAATGGACTCCTAAACTATTGAACCGATTTTAATCAAATTTTGCACATTGTGTGCAGTTTCATTCAACTTGAAAGATAGGATAGTTTGTATCTTAATTTTTAATCGCAATATTATTTTAATGCGAATTATTTGTTTATTAATCAAAGAGTCATGATTATCTCTGTTAGTTCGATAAGATTCTAGCAGATGGCGGTATAAGGTAATTAGTTGATTTAAAGACGATATATATATATATCTTATCTTCTTYTTCTCCTTATCTTAATATATATAAATTACGTGTCACGTTGTTTGTACGCAATGGACTCCTAAACTACTGAACCAATTTTAATAAAATTTTGCATACTGTGTGCAGTTTCATCCAACTTGAAAGATAGGATAGTTTATATCTCAATTTATAATCGAATATTATTTGTTTATTAACAAAGAGTCATGATTATCTCTGTTAGTTCGATAAGATTCTAGCAGATGGCGATATAAGGTAATTCGTTGACTTAAAGACGTGTGTATTGGACTGATTGTGAGCCACAGCAACGCGTAGCGGGGAACCCCTAGTTAAATATAATTTATTATTAGAATCTGCTTAATAATAAATTTAATAATAAAATTTAATTTAAGTTATTTTAATAATATTTAATTATTAGTTTATTTAATAATAAAAAAAAAAGACAAAACATTTTAATTAAAAGTATACTGCACTCAAATTGGTTAAAGAATTAATTATGAAAATATACAAATTTCCGAAAATTTCGAAATTTAATCTGGATAAATGAATATTTTACAAAATAACTTTTTTTTTATGTAAGAATCGAATACAGAAAAGTCATTTTCAAGAAACTAGTAGACTGGTTTACCTCGAACCCTGCTCCTTCTTGAAAATCGATTCTTAATACGAAGATAATTGCACAACTTCCTCAGATCTTAAGTTATTATTACTCTATGCAAATGGTTTCGTTCTGTATAATAACGATCAGAAATTTATGATTTGAAAATAACTCCACCTTTATTGTAATATTTACAACAAATTCTTAAGAACAAGAAACATATTTTATGATGTTTAGAATTTTTTTTTCTCTTTTTTTTTTTTTTTATATATACCTCATACATATTCATCGTCAAGGTGAGTAATTCACCTAATTAACTTATATAGATAACGATTGAAGAAACTTTTAAATGGATCATCATAACTTTTCGAATAAATTACTTTTAACAACGTTTATATCATTAGTTAAGTTTTAGTTCGTAATACGATTCCATTTTAAACTATTTTTGAATAAAATTAAACTTATTGCATAAATTTTTATTTCTATTGCAAAACATCTCAAAAATTAGGAAATTCCTTTTTCCTCAAGTAATTATTAACGTGACAGCATCTTAGATTTATGATGATTTATATCTTTAAAAAATTGACGTACAAAAAATATTCTAATTCTCTAATAATAAGCCAATATTGATGTTTCAGTTTTATTTTTATTTTCTTCATTAACATGTTAATGGTTGTACATCTACGCAGTCAAACGTCACCAAGAGCCGATATAATATTCATGAAAAATTAATTTAAAAAAAACTGTATTAAATTCACGAAAAAAAACTTAACAAACGACAAATTTAATTTTATATAATTTTAAATATATAAAAATTTATAAATAAATAACCGGCAATAACGGTTGTTCCAACTATCACACACATGTCGTGTGAGTGGCTATTAAAGTATTAAAGCAACTTTTAAAAAATCCTATAAATATTGAACAGGTTTATCAATTGAATCTAATTATCGATTATTACAAATGATTACATTTGGAATATTATGAATGTAATCGTTTTTTAAAAGAAATAAAACAAGAAATGGTAAATAATACAAAGTTGTATGGAAACCATAGTATTATTGTGTTCTTCATGATAAGTTAGAGGAAGTTGACCCACTTTTGCCAAAAGCGAGGTCAATCATCACAGATAAAGCGAGTAGTTTATCTAAAAGGAAAAGAAATAAAGGGAAACGACAGTTGCATTTTACATTAGTTGGTCAACATCCTGGAAACGGTGATTCCTACTAAAGTTTTCATTTAATTTTGTTCTCCGAAAACCACCGTCTTCCGGCTAATAGCATCGGACTTCTTGTTAATTGGTCTTGCACTTTCTAATTATTAATACGGTGATATAGAAACTCTCCTAAGGAAATGCCAGAAATAAGAATCGTTAAGGAAAAAAGGAAATGTCTGAGTTATTAGACCACTTTGTACCTATATAAGTGATCAACTTTTATCGGATGTTGTCAAAAAATCTGAAGACACGTTCGAGATCATTAACGTGAGTATATTCAATCTTGTTTTAACATTTCGAATATTCATCGTCATCAAATTTACAGTGACATTGAAAAAACAACAAAAAGGTTTTTTTCCTTTTATTTTAACATTTTAATACTTGCAAATAATTTACGATAAACATTTAAACGATATGTTACAAGTACAAAATTGAAACTTTAAACGTGAAAAATGGCGAATGATCAGTTTTTTGCATAAACGAAATGTATTTGTTATATAAAATAAAAATTTGATATTTATTATGTTACTTAAAAAGAAAGAAAGTTCACTAATTGACTACATCATGACAGAATTCACTTTTTAATTCAATTTCGATTTACCATTTTGAATATTCATCGTCATCAAATTTACAGTGGCATTGAAAAAACAATAAAAGGTTTTTTTCCTTTTAATTTAACATTGTAATACTTGCAAATAATTTACGATAAACATTTAAACGATATTTTACGAGTACAAAATTGAAACTTTAAACGTGAAAAATGGTGTATAATCAGTTTTTGGCATAAACAAAATGTATTTGTTATATAAAATGAAAATTTGATTTTTATTATGTTAATTTAAAAAGAAAGAAAATTTACGAATCAATTACATCGTGACAGAATTCACTTTTTATCGGATCGTATAAAACATTCATAATAAAAAAAAAAAAATGTGAAAAGAAAACATTGAGCTCGCATAACTCGGCCCCGACCTTCAATGTTACCGTGTTGAATGACTAACGCGTAACTTTAACATTGCGAAAGTGAATATATTTGTCTCTCCACTCATGGTATGTGTACATTATTAGGATCTTTAAGTTCAAGTCTTGGAGGTGTCAACGATCAGTAGTCACCAGACGTTCGAGCAATTCGATTCGACGTTCTTCATTCGCACACACTTGACAGGTATGAAATTTATCTCTTAATCAATTTTTATTTTAATAAATTATTCAAATATTTTAAGAAACTAATGAGATATTACAGACATTTTTTATATTTTATAAAATTTATGAATTATTTAAATTATGCTGTCAAATTTTTTCAACCATTTCAAATATTTGCATTGCAAGCCTATTTCACGCATAATAAGAATTCATTTGAATATTTTAATGAAATAATCATATAAAATATTTATTAAATTTATCGAACATTCATTAACACATACTATTAACAGAATTAATTAATTAAACATTTATTTTCTCATTTTAAAAAATATAAATATAATATACGTAGGTTGTCTACTAAATGAGGTATATTGTTTAATGTTGTTTATATTGTTTATATTGTTAATATTAATATCTAATATTATTTTAGGGCATAATTAGAATTAAGTATATTGTCAAGGGGAACGAACATGTAGGGGGGGGGGCCTTCGGGATAAACACCCTAAAGGGGTATATCTGAAAAATAAACTTCTTCTTCTTCTATATGTAGGTTGTAACTTAAATAATGGCAACTATTTATTTACAACAAAAGAGTTACATGTTTGCACCTGTTACTGTCCTCCAAAGTAGTCACCAGTGTTGTGTAGAACCCGTTGCCAGCCATGTGGAAGGCGTAGCATACCTTCAGCAGAGCCTGTTCTGTTGATGGTGTGAATGGAGCAGTCTACTGCCATGTCTTAGGGACCTTATAGGAGGGACGCACCATGTACATTGCTGGGGGACAGGAACTCGTATAGTCACGTGATTGCGCGCGAATGATTCAACTAACCACAGCTGTTAATACATACTAAAGATAAACATTGCTGCGCGATGCAACGGAAGCTGTCCCCCCACATTTTCAGCCTAGCAATGTACATGACGCGTCCCTCCTATAGGGTCCCTACCATGTCTCATCCAGTGTTACGATACGGCGTAAGAAAGCCTCTCATTTGCGCTCATAGCACTCCAAGTGCGTTTGAGCAGCTTCGTAATGCATCCATTTATACATTTCCGTCAATTCATGCGGAACCCATCGTGGCATTCGCTTCAGAACTATTCCAGAAATTCGACAGGCAGTAGACCGCTCAATTCGCACCATCAACAGAACAGGCTCAGCTGACGGGTTCTACATAACGCTGGTAGCTACTTTGAGGTACAGTAACAGGTGCAAACATGTAACTCTTTTGTATAAATAGTTGCCACTATTTAAGTTCCAACCAACGTATTAATAAAATCATTTTTATTATCATCACTTAAACGACTGGATAATGATAAATAATTAATATCATTTTTATCAAAGGTTTTAATAATATCAAAATGGCATCTATAATTTCGTCAATGCTATTGTTGATAATATTATCAACAATGACCCTTGGACAACAATCTAAACCTGGTGCATGTCCACCACGAACACCATTTAACATTCGTAGAAATCTTTGTAACGCTGATACGGATTGTAGAGGAGCTGAAAAATGTTGTCTTACGAGTTACAATGGTAGAATTTGTGTGATGCCCATTACAGAAACCATTAACATTGGTAAGCATTCAACTGGTTTATATTCAATGAATTTTTGATAGTTTTTAAATATATGCATTTAATTTATGTTAAAATGAAATCAACATTTTGCATGACGTATACAATTTGATATATAATAAATATATTTAATATTATAAATTATTAATTTAATTTATTAATAAAATATTTAATTAAATAAAATAAATTAAAATATTTAAATATTTAAATAAAATATTTAATTTAATAATAATATTATAATAATATTATAATTTAATTTATTATTTAATTAAATATTTTAAATTTTATTATATATCTATAATAATTTTTTATTTATATATTATTTTATTATTATTATTATTATTATTATTATTATTATTATATTTAATTTATAATAATTAATAATTAATAATATAATAATAAAATATTTAATTAAATAATAAATTAAAATATTTAAATATATAATAAGATTAAAATATAATATAAATAAAATTAAATTATAATATATAAAATAACTTCGACATTTGTTTATAAAATTGAATAATAAAATTATAATACATGAAATAAAAATAATCTCGAAGCTATTGAATTTTCTTAAATAAAAAAAAAAAAAAAATATCTTATTTCAATTTTGAAAACTGTAATAACATAAAAAATAAGTTAAATGATAAATGATATAATTCATAAGCACAGTTCTTCCTTATTGGTAAAGAGGAAAATTCATTATATTATTATATTCACATTAAGGATAAATCTTGCGTGATTCCCAATAATTAATATCATATTTCATAATTAATAGTTTGGAGACTTTACAGTGATCAAAACGATTATGGGATTACCTTAAGTAATCGTTGATGATTTTTTAAATGTTTGAGAACAAATTCTCATTTTCAAAGAATTCTTACTAATCCATATAATACTTGCCTTAACAAGATATTGATTTATTATTATTTTTTTTTTTTTTTTTTTTTTTTTTTTAAGTATATGTATATTCTAATTAAATATTGAAATATCTTTTCACGTAATATTTTGTTAACGAATAATTGCATGGTAAACAAAAAAAAATACAAGTTGTGTGAATAATCGTCGTTTTAATAATTCATCGATAAGTTAAATTAAACTTACGTAATTTTATGATCTTCTCATATTTTTGATCTTTAATATCCTTCTAATGATACATTAATTTTTATTTATTTAGTAAAACGAGGTAATTGTCCGGTTAGACCAACTGGACGATGGATTTGTACATCAACTTGTCGATCGGATGGCGATTGCAGAGGAATCAAAAAATGTTGCAAAAATCGATGCGGTGCATTAGCTTGTCAAAATCCCGAAGTTGAATATGATCCAATTGCATTGGAAGATTCACAACCACCTATGGTGTTTTATGGCGATACTTCGTAACGATTTAAAATTAAACGTTTAAGTAAAATTTCGTTAAACTTATTTTATTATTAGTTTTATCGTACGTGCCATATAAGCAAAATTTAGTATAATTAAAAAATATGTTATGAGACGACATGTCAATTCATTGAATTATGAAGTGTGATTGAAAGGAACACTTGTAACATTAATCAACCGATATTTGACGTATCTCTGTAATGCTATTTAATTTGTTTTACAATTAGTATTTCACATTTCTTTACAATAACATTACTATTTAATATAATATTATAACACAGTTTTATCTAATTATATATGTGTACATATTTTCTTAATGTATAGATATTTACATATATTTTTACGTATAATATACATATATAATATATATATATATATATAATATATTTATTATAATATATTAATATATATAAATATATTGATATATAACAATATATTATAAATAATATATATTTTATATATATTTATATTGTTTATATATATATTATTATTATATTTATATATATTATTTTATATATATTATAAATACATATAAAATATTATATAAACATATATTTAATAAGTAATATTAATATTATTATAATATATTAATATATTTAATATATATAACAATATATTATTTATTATATATTATTATTTATAATATATTATTATATATATTATAAAAATATATNATATTATATTTATTATATATATAACCATATATTATTTATTATATATTATTATTTATAATATATTATTATATATATTATAAATAATATTAATTAATATTAATATTAATATTAATATTATTAATATTATAATTACAAATATAATAATATATTATATTTATTATATATATATATAACAATATATTATTTATTATATATTATTATTTATAATATATTATTATATATATATTATAAATATATAAAAAATATTATATATAAATATATTATAAATAATATTAATTAATATTATTAATATTATAATTACAAATATAATAATACATATAATATAATAATATATATAATATATATATAATATATATAATAAATATATTTATATATATGTATTTGTGTGCGTGTGAGTATAAATTAAAAGAAACATTAATTACGCTATTAATTATACGAGAAAATAAATTCGCAATAAATTATGAGCATTTCTTATGTATACTAATATTTAATATTTATGTATATTAAATACATTTAATTTATATATTATTAAATATGAGAATTTTATTATGTAAACAATAAAAGGAAAAATATAAAAGAACATGTCAAACATTTAAATATATTATCGTAATCTCTCTCTTTATATGAATAATGATTCATACAGGGATAATTTACATTAAAGCTATCTCGTTGGTTCCACATTTCTTATCCGCTTAGTAAAGACACTCGCAAAAAGAGTGACGCAAGATCCACGTTAAAGAAAGGCCACTTAAAATCATCTTAGCATTTATCCTTTCCACTCGACTAAGTTCTTAGACGCTTGCAAGAATCAGTGATTCACTTGTTATAATATTACTTCAACGGGAAAACCTCATTTTTCCGGTTCAAAAAAAAAACAACAGTTCAGTTAATAAGAGTGGTGGTAAAATCATGGTGGTTGTTTAAAAAGCAGTATTTATTACAATCTTATTATAGTTCTTCACACGTAGTTCATGTTTGAACATTCTAACGGAAACCATTAAGCTATTCAACTTCACTTTAACGAGATAACGTCAAGAAAAATGTATCGTACGTATCTTTTGAAATATTAATCATTTATTTTACTTATCACGTTATTAATATTTACAATCAAATATATATATATATTTAATTTATCAGGTAAAACTTTAATTCTTCTTTTCTGCCTTTGTTTGATGATGATCGTAACATCAGGACAACTTTCCAGTAAGTAAACAAAATAATTTACAATGCATTGATATTATTTGATTAAAAAAAGATTGTTTTAAACATGAAAATAAATGCTAATATCAATATGTGTATATACATGTGTATATACTGTAGAACTTATAGATTTTACATAACTTGTTTGTTAAAAAGTGAAAGTCAGTTTAATAGGATACGTAGTCATCTGTATATTTGTGTTGAAGAATTTTAAACTTGTTCTGTTTTCTTTTCTCAAAATAAACGTATATTATTCGTATACATTGAAACATTCGATCAAGGATGATGTGGTCTTTCGTCGATACATACCATAAATCTTATTATGGTGTAATATTCGAAGAAAAATAATTCAATATAAAGTAACAACTAATAGAAATTGAATAAGTCGTTGTTACGTTGTTTCCGATTAAAGATTAAATACGAAGATAAACGTTGATTATGCTGATTAAAATTGAACATTCGAGTAAACATCGTGAAACAAGCAAAAGATTGAAAATATTGATTGCATTTAAGAAATATATAATACGAGATCCGGCTTCAAGTTTAGTGTACCCATCGAATTTTTGTTAAAAACCTAATTTTTACGTATATTTATGATTAGGAGAATATATATCTACCAGATTTTCTATCAAAATGTTGCCGCTAGTATTTTTAATTAAATTATTGTTAATTAATTTTGGGGAAAAAATTCACTCACTTGGTTTTTAAATAAAATATCATCCACTTTACGGCAATATATGTAAAGACTTTGAAAAATCACGATTGCCGTTGCGCACTTGACCCTACCTCTTCGCAGTCAGGTGTAAACAGATATGATTTTGATATATTTATACATTCATAATGAACATTTATTATTTATATATCAAATTAAAGCTAATTTTTTCCGTTTATTATGATATACGATAGCTTAATTAAATCTGGCCGCAAATAAGGCTTGCCGGCTGTTAAAGATAGTAGAAATTAAAGATAGAGTGAGAGAGAGTTATCGCACAAGATCACTTGTCAGACGAGGACAGCGATTGCCAGCCGCACGACACTTCAAAGCCACTGCGCATGCGTCGATTGCTAATGTTCTCAACTGAATAGCTGCGACATTATTATTCTAACCACGCTGTTTTGGAGTTACTGTTTGTACCGGTGGTTGAGAACACTAGCGTCCGACGCATGCGCAGTGGCTTTAAAGTGTCGTGCGGCTGGCAATCGCTATCCTCGTCTGACAAGTGATGTTGCGCGATAACTCTCTCTCACTCTACCTTTAATTCTTACCATCTTTAACAGCCGGCAAACCTTATTTGCGGCCCAAAAATTAATTAACAATAATTTAATTAAAAATACTAGCGGCCACATTTTGATAGAAAATCTGATAGATATATATTCTCCCAATCATAAATATACGTAAAAATTAGGTTTTTAGGAAAAATTCGATAGGTACACTAAACTTCCAACTGGATCTCGTATTAATAAGTATAATAATTAATTTCAAATTATACAAACAAAGAAAAATAACATATTTCTTCAAAGTTTTCTTAAATACGTTATTGTAAATAAAATTAAATTATATATTGATGTAATATAATATATTTAGGTAAAGCTGGATTTTGTCCATTAAAAAGTACCATCGACAAATGTATGCCTCGATGTGTCAGCGATTATCAATGCTCAGGTAATCAAAAATGTTGTCCTAACAAATGTGGTTCTACGTCATGTGTATCCTCGAGTGCTGTTAATACTGGTAATGGTTACAAAGGCTCATCAAATAGTAAGTATATATTTTCTTTGAAAACATAAAGATTATAAATATAATATTAAATTAATAAAAATATTCTAATAATTATCTATAATATTATTTATTTAAATATTTATTATTAACACATTCGCGACCGGCATATTTTTTCCTTCTTTAATACTGTGTATTGGCAGAAATTATAAATTATTTAAATTTATATATTATTATTATTATAAAATATATAATATATATAATAAAATATAATTTATTTAAATATTATAAAAATTAATTTATATTAAATTTTTTAATTTTAAAATGACGTAAATTTCACGTCAGTGATAATTAGGAATAAAACTTGAAAAGACGTAAATTCACGTCAGCGGTCGTGCATGTGTTAATATTCTAACTTTAATTATTTAATATTAATTAATTTTTATTAAATATTCTAATAATTTGTATATATTTGTTTTAGCTGGTGCCGTTATATGTGCTGGTGTAAAATGCAGAAATCAAGAAAAATGTCAATTCGATCGTAATACTAAACGAGAAAAGTGTGTTCGAGGATAAAAAAAACAAAAACAAACAATTTCTATAAATATTATTTCTTATTTTTAAACATATTTTTTATTCAACTATTATGATAAATTACTTAATCTACTGTGTTGCTCGAATATTTTTCGTAATTATAAAAAAAAAAAAGATTGATATAATTCCAAATCAAAAAATATATCAACTTTAAATTAAAGTTTTAAGAATTTTTAAAAATATTATAATATTTACTTCGATATAAAATAAGTTACAATTGATAATTGCTACGAAAAATCTTATAGCCCAGTGAACACACCAATGTAACCGAGACGTTACATTTACAGAACTAAAAACTTTAGGTTACGTAAAACCGTAAATAACATACGTGTCACATGTGACTCACATGTGTTTATCACCATTTGTATATATCACCATTTGTATCACAAGAATGTAAAATTTACATTACATTTGTTATGTTAAATGTTCTCTAGGTGTGATATCACTGTTACGTTGGTGTGTTCACTAGGGCGGTTATCAATGAAAGATTACACATGTAATATTTATAAAAAAAAACAACTTTAAATTAAAAAGTGAAATTGTTTTGTTATGTCGTCTCTTAATTTGACAATCACACGAAACTATAAAATTTGAACGTGACATTATTAATTTAAGGGGACACGTCACCTTCGAGTGTAAAAAAAAAAGCGGTTTGTTTGTTAATTTTTTTTGCAGCTAGTTTTATTAATATCAATACAAATCTTTGGTATATGTAAGTTATATATCTGAACTATATTCACAATTTTTTGTGTGTACAAATATTGTAAATTGTGTTGTCTGTTGCCACTTTTCTAAGAGTCCAAAAAAAAAAGGTGATTTTCGGTGGCCCTCACTGGCAAAAATTGGTTCATCATAAACAAAAAAACTGAGTGTTATCCTTTAGTAGAGATGTTGGCGCAGGGAATGAACGAAAGGAAATTTTGATTTTTTAACTTTTCTCAAAATAGTCGACATTTTGCGAAAAAAATTGAGATTTTTGCAGAAAAATCGCCGAGTTTTTGAAGAAAAAAAAAAAAATTGGCATTTTTTCGAAAAATCCTTTCGTTCATTCCCTAGATACGTGTATCTAGTATTACTGTACAAAATTTGGTAAGGATCGGATAAATTGTCTGGACACAGCGAGGGCCACCGTTTTAAAGTTTTGGTAACTTACTTGGAGCGCTACGGCGCGCTCCGTTTAAACTACTACAGTTTCGTAAATAATGGGCGGATCTTTATCAAAATTTGAAGAAATATTTTTGAAATAATATTCTTTCAGAAAATCGAAAAAAAAAATCGTTTTTTTTGTTGACGTGTCTCCTTAAGAGGGTATTCTGATCTAGAGGCATGAATTTTAGGTACCATTTCATATGTAATAACAAAAAGACGAATAATATTTTCACTATCTATAATGTTACAAGATATTCATTAATATTTCAAGAATGCATGGAACAAAAAAAAAATAGTGAAAAAATTTAAAATTGAAAAAGATGAAGTAGGGGGTCCCAAGAAAACAGTGTACGACAAATGTCAAGATTGCAGCTCTCCTGGTAATCCAAAATACAAAATTAAAACGGATTATTAATTTAGAATAATGTAGCTATCGTTCGAACTAAAAGAATTGAAAAAAATTTTTTTTTTCGCTAAATTACAGCTGTCTGAAAAAAAGATACATTATTTTTTACCACATTTTTTACTTTTCCGAATTTTTTAAAAATAATAAAAAATTGAAAATTTTGTAAGATTTTAGTTAGTACGATAGAGAAATGCATAGAGAAGATTCCCACCAAATTTCAAGTAAATCGGTTTAGGAGAACTTGAGATATTTTGACATTTGTGAACAAAAAAAACAGTTTCGAGAAAAATGCGTTCAAAGTTTCGCGTAATGAGGGTAGGATATAGGATGCCGCGTCACTAAAAAACAGCTATATTTCCGAAAATAAATTGAATTTTGAAAAATCCTCTTCAGGACATATTCTTAAAAGGTTAAGCTTTGATGATATGAAAAAAAAAAATCGATTTTTTCAAATTTCTAGACAAGAATACTCCCATAAGTAGAGCAAGGTTTATTCGCATTCGAGTTTTTTTTTGTTTTCCTAATTTTAAACCTGATTCTTGTATTTTTCGTATTTTCAATCCTCAAAAATGTTTCATCAAAATTTTAGAAAATGTTTTAAGAAGTAATACCACTATAGAATTTTCAAAAAATCGATTTTTGTTTTTTTAGCTTGAAGTGTACTTTGGACATCTAAAAACATTAGGCACTTGGTCCCGAAGCGAAATCTTATTTTTTCGAAGCGTCTTAAGGGGACACGTCCACAAAAAAATCGTTTTTTTTGTTGACGTGTCCCCTTAAGAGGGTATTCTGATCTAGAGGCATGAATTTTAGGTACCATTTCATATGTAATAACAAAAAGACGAAGAATATTTTCATTATCTATAATGTTACAAGATATTCATTAATATTTCGAGAATACATGGGAAAAAAAATAGTGAAAAAATTCAAAATTGAAAAAGATGAAATAGGGGGTCCCAAGAAAACAGTGCACGACAAATGTCAAGATTGCAGCTCTCCTGATAATCCAAAATACAAAATTGAAACGGATTATTAATTTAGAATAATGCCGCTATCGTTCGAACTAAAAGAATTGAAAAAAATTTTTTTTTTCGCTAAATTACAGCTGTCTGAAAAAAAGATACATTATTTTTTACCACATTTTTTACTTTTCCGAATTTTTTAAAAATAGTAAAAATTGAAAATTTTGTAAGATTTTAGTTTGCAGGATAGAGTAATGCATAGAGAAGATTCCCACCAAATTTCAAGTAAATCGGTTTAGTAGAACTTGAGATATTTTGACATTTGTGAACAAAAAAAACAGTTTCGAGAAAGTTTCGCGTAATAAGGGTAGGAAATAGGATGCCGCGTCACTAAAACAGCTATATTTCCGAAAATAAATTGAATTTTGAAAAATCCTCTTGAGGACATATTCTTAAAAGGTTAAGCTTTGATGATATGAAGAAAAAAAAATCGATTATTTCAAATTTCTAGACCAGAATATCCCCTTAAATGAATAAATATTTATCTGTGTATGATTTATTCGTAGAATGAAATAAATCAACAAATTAGTTAAGAAGAATGATTCAATTAATTGAAGCTTAATAAAAATAAATTTAAATCAATTGTACGAGTGCGTCCATTTATAATTTCATAACAGTGTCTTTTGATCAAGTAATATAAAATAACAATAAACAAAGCGATTAATTACAATAAAATTTTCTTTATCTCAATTTTATTCAGTGGAAATTACTTAATTTGAAAATAATAACAAAATAATCGCATTTTACCGGCTTACGACATCGATATATTTCGATATATCGTTTCACTATTTTATTCGTAGGTTAGGAATCTAGTAACGTAGGAATACTTTGATGAAAATGCTTTACATTGTGTAACCAAAATAATCGAGACAAAAATCAAAAGTAAAAAAATTGCAATTATTATTATTGTTAAAAAAAAAAAAGAAGAAGAAGAAGAAGATGAAATTAGGACGAATTAAATTTGTCTTTGTCGAATAAATATTTGAATATCTCAACGAAAAAGAGGTTAGATTCGTTTAAGGTTAACAATGGCTGTTGAATTCTTAGTAAACCGGGTAAAAGCCCTTGTTTTACTTCTCTTCGGTGCATTTAGACGTGCTATGTGTTGTTTAAAACGTCGTAGAAGATCTTCGTGTGATTCGATACCACTTTCGGCAGTTGGCGTAATACCAAATCCAACAAACAATGCAAACACGGTGAGTTTTTATTACACTTCTTACATCTGTGGTAAATCTATTTTCAAATCTCTCTCTCTCTCTCTATAAATACTTTGACAACTGCTATAATAGTAATTATGAGAATGTTTATTCAAGGAATTAGTAAAATGGGATCATTGGGAGGAAAATCCAGTTGTTGTTGTACCAGATAAACCTGTCAACATTATCCAATCTAAGATAGAACAATATAGACAACAGGTGGCCAAGTCTACAGAACCTCCAGAAGAGGAACAACAACCTAACTTCTTTCAGGTAAATTCTATTACAAGTTAAATATCATAAGAAAAGAATTACGATGTAACATATTTGTCTATTTTAGGATATGACACCAAAAATTACAAGACAAACTAAAATTCTTATCAAAGATAAAAAAGCAGAAAACAATTACGACAATGCTCGTCATCTTGCTAAATTTGCAGTAGCTACCGATCCAATACCAACGGTAAGTTTACATATAAATACATAGGTTGAAACTTAAATAATGACAACTATTTGTTCACAACCGATACAAAAGAGTTACAGTTCCTGTATACTGCTCCTGTTACTGTACTTCAAAGTAGCTACCAGCGTTGTGTAGAACCCGTTGCCAGCGATGTGGAAGGCGTAGTATACCGTCAGCAGAGCCTGTTCTGTTGATGGTGCGAATGGAACGATCTACTGCCCATGTCTCATCCAGTGTTACGATACAATGTCTGAGCAGCATCATAATGCATCCATTTCTGCATTTCCGTCAATTCATGTGGAACCCATCGTGACATTCGCTTCAGAACTGTTCCAGAGATTCGACAGACAGTAGACCGCTTCATTCGCACCATCAACAGAGCAGACTCTGCTAACGGGTTAGGAGCTGTAACTCTTTTGTATCGGTTGTAAATAAGTAGTAGCCACTATTTAAGTTCCAACCTACGTATATATGAATGCGAAATTATATATAATGTGTTGAATATTAATGAAACATATTTATATTTAGAATGAACTCAAAGAATGGGAAGACAACACTGTTAGTTGGGAAGAAGAAACCAGCGAAGAATTTGGTGATCCTACTAGAGCGTTAAGGGAACAAAAACGTAGAGAACGTGAGCAACGTTTATTTGAACAGCAACAAAAAAGACTTGAACGTAATGCTAGGCCACAACCATTAGGAGCAAAAATAAGCTCTTGATGTGAAGTCATATTTTTATTCGAATTAATATTAAGTTTAATGATATTTTTTAAAAAGGTAATGTCTATGTTCTTTAAAATACAATTAAGAAACAATTCCATCCGTATTGGATATTTCATGGGTGTAATATTTCTGTTATATATGAGAAATCGTTTTAAGAAGACAAATTATATCAAAATGTAAATGAACAGTGCTTTATAAGTTTAAGTTATTTATACAACCGATATCATTTGAAAAATATTGGATATTTTATTGAACTTTATTCATTGAAATTGTTCATGAAAGAACATATCTTTTAAAGTATTATGTTTTAAATTATCATTCTAATACACATTGCTATTTTTAATGATTATTTTCAATACCATTAACTTTACTAATATTTAAATAACAGATATATATTTATATTTCTGATTGTGAATTATTTTAAAATTATATGTGTATACATATATATATATATATAACAGAGCAATGCAATTACTATTCATAATTTAGTTAGTTCTCAGTTTTAATTTAAGATGGATTTTTAATAGCATTACATTGCCTATTTCTATTATTATTATTATTATTATTAGTATTATACTATTTCTTTATAAATTTAAGATACAATATACGTCCTTAGAATTTATAAACATTTCATATTAATTCCTTGCACCATTATAATGAATGCATTGTATATCTTTGACAGATCATTACAGAAAAGCATTCATAAAAATATTTATTGTGTAAAATGTATTAGATTTTTTGTACCAATTAAGTTTGAGTAAAAAAAAAAAAGCTGTTCTGATGAAATAAAAAAAAAAGAAACAAAATAAAAATTTTGGAAAATCTTAGAAAGTATAATTTGAACATTATTTACGTTACAATGTTAAGACTCTATTATTATGGAAAATTAAATTAGACAAAAAAACTATCTACATATATATATATATATAAATCACAGAAATTTTTTTTTATTTAATCTTTTTTTTTTTTTTAAATCTACATTTAACTTTTTCATATACAAAAATGCGCAGCAAGTAATAATAAAATGTTAATATAGAATAAAATTCGTAGGCATTACTTCACATATAATTACATAAGGATAATATTTAAATATTAAGATCGACATATCAAAAAATTCGTTATTAATTAATAAATTAATAATAAAGAAAAAGATTCGTATCATCGTTATGATTATAACGACATTTCATAAAATGACGTTTCTTATCTAAAAGCATAATTTATAAAAAATATGACGTTAATCGTCGTAACCTACATAATCATTAAAAATCATTCTTGTCTTTTGTTAATTATAAATTCGGACAAGCTTTTAAAATGTATTATGACAATGTACGTGTGTATATTTATCGAATATCGCAATAATAATCAAACATTGATCGAATTATCTTCGATAAAAGAAAATAACAATTTCGTAAATCTTATAATATATATATATATATAGATATAATAATTGTATGATTAGGTATCTATTTCTCTTGCACAAAATTACAAAAAAGGGCACTTATACCATAAATGACATTCAGAATTATAGTAAATGATATGCATATTGGCAGAAATCTTATGTTGCATCTTTACTTTCAGTATTCAAGAATTGAGAACGTTCTTCCTTCTCTTTTAACTGATGTAATATATTTAAGCAAGGCTCAGATTAATAAGATTAAGCCATGATCAAATAATGATCAATTAGCGGTTAATATACCGTGAGCCTGGTGCAAATTGATCAAACCAGAAATCTTTCATTGTTTAAAAGTTCTTTAAGTTGTTTAAGATTCTTGTATAAAAATAAACACTCACTTTCTATCTTTCTTTTTCTCTCTCTCTCTTTTTTTTTCTTTTTTTTTCTTTTTCTTTTTCTTTTTCTTTACAAAGGCCTTGAATTTGTTTTCCATACTATCGTTTACTTACAATTGGAAAAAGATTTGTAATTTGATCTCTGTGCCGAATATCGTTAATCGAGTTACTTTAAGAGAGCTCCATTTTCAATTTGGTGCGCTTTGAATGTGTGCACACTACACGTGGATCACGCGTATGAGAACGCCTAGTTTACAATCGGAGAGGAATCAGATAAATATTTTCAGCACAACCGACATTCCTCAATAAGACTAACGTCATCCATTTTGCTTTTCATGTACTCCATTTTCTTGTGGTTTCAGTGGCTTTATTACATCTATTTCGTTTCCTTGTTCCAGGTCATGCTGTTGCTTCTTCTTCTTCTTATTTTTAGGAACTTTCCTACATGATTATAATATTAAAGATAAAATGATTAAATATTTTTCAATTCTATTTGAAATATCTGATTGATGTGATTTGATAACAATTGAACGTACTTTCCAAACAATTCTCCATCTTGGATAGATTCAGGAAGTTTTTTGTTTAAAGTTTCTGGAAGTAACAGTGACATCATACCACCAAAGAGAGCACACGATCCGAAAATGACCAAAGGCAAGGGTGTCCATATTTCCGACTAAAAGATTTAACAATAAATTCGTATTAGGTAATATCTTATCGACATAGTCAATAAATCTAGCAATAATATATATGATTTTCTTACTAGATGATTTATATATGGTGCTATTACACCACCGATACGAGCAAAAGTCGAACAAGCGCCAAGACCTACGTTACGGATAACAGTTGGAAATTGTTCGGCCGTAAAAACATAAATTGCACCATACGATGATGTGATGGCAAGTTTCCCAATCATAGCGAGACAAACTACTAGCCATGGTTTATCTATACAGCGATCAAATTCAGCAACTTTTCAAGTTAAGTTTACTCTCGACTAAAACACAATATTTATTTTACTTACCAATAGGAACGAACAATGCAGCGAGTAGTGCCAATCCGGAAAGCAACATACAACCACAGAGAATTATTTTTCGGCCCCATCGATTTAACGTGAAAATAAGAAATGTATAAGCAGGCACTTCTACCAAGCCAGATATCAAAAAGTTCACGTAATCGTTTCCACCAAGATTGGATGCATGCCAAGATAATCCATAATATGTACCACTATTTACGAGCCTACAGACAAATAAGAATGATTATTTTTGTACTACGTAGGTTGGAACTTAAATAGTGGCAACTATTTATTCACAACCGATACAAAAGAATTACATGTGTTCTCCTGTTACTGTCCTTTAAAGTAGTCACCAGCGTTATGTAGAACCCGTTAGCAGAGTCTGCTTTGTTGATGGTGCGAATTGAGCGGTCTACTGCCTGTCGAATCTCTGGAACAGTTCTCAAGCGAATGCCACGATGGGTTCCGCATGAATTGATGGAAAACTATGAGCGCTATGAGCGTGAATGAGAGGCTTTCTTACGCCGTATCGTAACACTGGATGAGACATGAGCAGTAGACTGCTCCATTCGCACCATCAACAGAACAGGCTCTGCTAACGGGTTCTACACAACGCTGGTGACTACTTTGGAAGACAGTAACAGGTGCAAACATGTAACTCTTTTGTTTTTTCAGTTCATTTAAATTTCAACCTACGTATATTTGTTATCAGTTTTTTTTTTTGTAAGAAAAACATATATTAGATATTTAAAATTACCAATTAAAAAACAATAGTATACTCTTTCGCCTTAAATTCGGATATCGAAAAAGATCAAAGAGAGAAGCCTTCTTTGAATCAGGCATACTATCTTCATTATTATTGCTTAAAAGAGTATCTAAAGCTTCACGTGGAATTTCCATTCCATTTTCCTTCGATGCACATTGAAGTATGTCTTTAGCTTCCTCGGCACGACCTTTCATCAATAACCAACGAGCAGACTCTGGAATGAACCTATACAAACAATGTGTATTATGCACATATTGAGGCCAGTTGACTAAGAATTATCATAAAACATACCACCAATAGAACAGAAATACGATACTCGGAATGGTGATGGCGACCTGCAGCATTCTCCATTCTCTTATCATATAAGCAAAACCTGCCATAAGAATGTAGCCCGTAGTGAAGAATAATTGACAACCTACACCAGCCACCAAACGTTTCTTTGGGCCGACCATCTCAAGAGCTGTATGGAAAATAAAAAGGTCAATTATTTATTTATAATTACATAAGTTGAGACACACAGAAGAATCATTAGTAACAATATTAATATTTAACATTATTATAATATGCTAACAACTTATTCAACAAAAATAAGTCAAAATGAATTAACTTAACATTTTCTAATGCAACATATTCTTTACCTATTACGTAAGCCACCAAAAAGACTCCACTGGTGGTCGAACCAACGATCAACCTGAAGATTACGTAGGAAATAAACTCGGGAACTATTGCAAGCAATATACCGCCAGCTAGCTGGATGACTAAAGACAGGAAGAAAATTGGTCTACGTCCATATTTATCGGACAAAGCACCAAATATCATCGAGCCAAGCATGACTCCTACCATGAACAATGAGTCCCCCGTAGCCCTCAGCCAGGCTCTATCGCAGACCAAGTTCCACTGAAAAAGGAAAAGCGGTTCGGATTCACCGATTCACTAGAAAAAGAAACGAGACAGGTTAATCGAGCTTTATATTTTCTAGAGAATAATCATACCTCAGAAGTGGTGGTACTTTTATATTTTGTCCTATCGTAAACGTATCCTTCGCAAGGTTTAACACCCTCGGCTTTGGCCAAATCATGTGAACCTATTGGCGTTTGAACCGGCCAATTATCCTGAGCTTGAAAATTACCGTCCAATATAGGATCTCGTCGTAAACATTGCGACCAATTTTTGGCTTCGAAATCCCAAGGATAACTGAAATTCATAACGTCCTGAGGTAGATAATACGTAGCATTCTCCATGCTCTCGTTCGGCAATAGACATCTGAAATAAAACACACATATATACAAATCTACGTTCTTTTTATCTTATCAAATGAAATAACTTGATCAAACAATTTGCATAATATTAAAAGTAAACACAAAATATTATACAATAACTCAGATAAGAAAGATAAATCCTGACCTGGCATCATGTTTAGCTCCAAGAAAAACACCTGCTAATTTATGGAATGCACAGGATATCGCCGGAAGACAAAGAAGCAAATAAACTCGACGTTGGTAGCGACCAAATTCGCCCATTCGGAGTATCACATCGTCGTATGCCATTTTTCCTTCCGCCTTTTTTTACCTTTTATCCTTTTCGAAGTTATTTTCTTTTTATAAATTGGACGACCTTCTACGTGGTCTTACGTCACAGACTCCTTTCCTTTTTCCTCCTTTCTGCTGGATTCAACGAATAGACCAACAACAGTCAGATGATTATTATTGATCGTCGAATTTGTGCCAACACGACGTAACTACGATTACGTTATCAGCTTTTACTGATACACATGGACGGTGTTTGTCCTAAAAAAACACGCACGATGACGATAATTAAATATCGCCCTTAAAAATGTGTATATATATTTATATATATATATATATATATATATGTACTATTTTATTTTCAAAAATATAATTTCGAGCTTTTATTATCCTTTTTTCTATCCTTTGACATCGAGTTGTATTATTCTCATCAAGAATACACTCGATCGTTATTTATCTTTAAGATTTTTTTATTGACATAATATAATGTCATTCTTGTTTTTTGAGATTTCAATAAGATTCGTTTTATTATATTTTTATTTCTTAAGAATATAACACAATCTTCATAATCAGTATTCAATAGCTGATATTTTTCAGCTTTATTTATTACCTGCAATCAAATGAATTTACATTAGAAATTTAACAAAATTTAATCAAATGGTATATAAAGTGACATTAACGAAAGACGCAAAAGCATAAAATTAATTTGAATTATTCAAGATTAATAGTAAATGAAAGATAGATGTTATCAATATAATAATGAAACTGTATAGATTCTTTCGAACGTAGCAATAATAGTTAACACGATTGTATTGGATTTATTAAAGATAATTAATTCTATCTAATAGATCCGATTCAATCTAATTATAAATACAACACACATCGCAGAATTATGCGACAAAACGTGAGCCTTACGAAACCGAGATTATTATCATCATCGAATCATTACCAATCGTAATCACACAGAATCAACTTACGTTTACGTTTTTATCAACTTCCAATGAATCTAACAATATGAATAGTAATAATAATCAGTTCCGTAACAGCCAAGTTTCTACGATAAATACGTAACTCTATATCATCATCTTTCTATTAATATAACATAATTAATATTATAAATGTGACAAAAGTATAATTAGCAATAGTTAAACATATCAAACTAAATTATATATATATATATTACTATCCTATCTTTCAAGTTGGATGAAATTGCACACAGTGTGCAAAATTTTATTTAAATCGGTTCAGTAGTTTAAAAGTACATTGCGTACAAACAACGTGACACGTAATTTATATATATTAAGATAAGAAGAAGAAGATAATATATATATAATTAATAATATATTTTTAATTTTATTTTATATTAATATTATAGTATAAATATTTTAATAATTATTTTATTTATTATTATAATTATATATATGTATACTAGGGGTGCCCCGCCACGCGTGCTGTGGCTCACAATCAGTTCGATAAATACGTCTTTAAGTTAACGAATTACCTTATATCGCCATCTGTTAGAATCTTATCGAACTACCAGAGATAATCATGACTCTTTGTTAATAAACAAATAATATTGCGATTATAAATTGAGGTATAAACTATTCTATCTTTCAAGTTGGATGAAACTGCACACATTGTGCATAATTTTATTAAAATCGTTTCAATAGTTTAGGAGTCCATTGCGGACAAACAACGTGACACGTAATTTATATATATTAAAAAGAAAAAGATAAGATATATATATATAGCAAGGTTTCTTAATCTAAAGTTAAATATTTATTATAACACGCGAAATAATAAATGTTATCTTATGCAAAAGTAAGGGAAATAATTAATTTATAAAAGATACTTGAGAAAGTTCTTGTAGAATGTTTTTGTAAGAATATCACAGTAGTACAGTAATACTTATTTTTCAAATAATATACAGTAACTTTGATCTTTATTAGCTTCATTAAAATTATATTAAAGTTTCTTACTGTATCTCTTATTTATTATATATATAACATAAAATAATGAACAAAGTTAATGTAAAATTTAATAATAAAAAAAATCAAGATTATAAAAATGCGATGCTTGATATCTTTCGTATAGAAACAATTTAATTTATTCAGTTGCGTAATATAAAAAGGTTCAGAAAAAAACATTTGTATATATCATTAATTTTAAGATTCTATCACGTAATTGTCCAAGACGTCTTAACAACGATCAATTTTTTTTTATACGTATATCGATAAATAAATGAAAAAAAAAAAGTAAACAACATTGCAGCATTGGTATTCGTTGTATTTACATACGTAGTTGTGCAATGATTTCAATTAATGATTTCAATGTTGCTGGAGAAGCATTCTACAAAAGAATGATGAATATTAAGAAGCAAAACTGGTTTACAACTCATTCGAGTTATCTCGAGAATTTGTAGAAAGGAACGAGAGGGAGATATATTTCATGGGCAAGTGATACTAATCGACAAGTATTCCTACATATATATACTAGAGGTGCCCACAATCAGTCCGATACACACGTCTTTGAGTCAACGAATTATCTTATACCGTCATCTGTTAGAATCTTATCGAACTAACAGAGATAATCATGGCTCTTTGTTAATAAACAAATAATATTCGATTATAAATTAAGATATAAACTATCCTATCTTTCAAGTTGAATGAAACTGCACACAGTGTGCAAAATTTTATTAAAATTGATTCAGCAGTTTAGGAGTCCATTGCGGACAAACAACGTGACATGTAATTTATATATATATTAAGATAAGGAGAAGAAGAAGATAAAATATATATATATATCGTCTTTAAGTCAACGAATTATCTTATACTGCCATCTGTTAGAATCTTATCGAACTAACAGAGATAATCATGACTCTTTGTTAATAAACAAATAATATTCGATTATAAATTAAGATATAAACTATCCTATCTTTCAAGTTGGATGAAACTGCACACAGTGTGCAAAATTTGATTAAAATCGGTTCAATAGTTTAGGAGTCCATTGCGGACAAACAACGTGACACGTAATTTATATATATTAGTCAATGAAAATTCATAACTATAGTGAGTTAAAATAATGTCGTGTAAATTGAAATGAAATAAATATATTAAAACATTGATCACACAATCCTAGACGAACACGTGACAGGGATGAATATTTGTTATAACTGTTATTAAGATTATTTGAATAAAACTATATCGGTATATACGTCGGACCCACCATGGACGAATTAATGAGTCGGCCTTAATGCGAACGACATAACAGTCAATTGATTTTCTCTGATCAAAAGCAAACACGTGCGCTTGAACTGATCATTCACATACTATTCGATGGCGACACGAATGAATATATCGATGTATATGTATATAAAAATTAAGATCTAATCGATCTTTATCATCGTACAATTGTCAAGTATCAATTGAAAATGTATTTCAATATTTTATCGAAGAAAACAAAATTCTGTTTATCCATTAATTATCTTTATTTGACGAATTTACAAATATTTTCTAATAAAGTTATCTAATGAATATTTCAAATTGTTACAAAAATATTATTGAATAGTTAGAAAATTGTTTTTCTTTTCTTTTTTTCGATTAAAAAATGGAATCTTAAAATTGTATAAAAAAAAAAAAAAACAAGAAAAAAGGAAAATCGATTGAATACTTTGAAAATAATTAAAAGGTTGAATAGAAATAAGGGACACAGAGAATAAATAAGACAATTACCGTTCAGACTTTAATCATTGCGCAAGGGGTGGCCTCTCGTGACATCGTAATAAAGAACGAAAGTATAGAAATACGCGAGTATAACATTCACTTTAAACTCCGGCACGACGCCGAACGAAATCATTTATTCTTGAAATCTAAAGAAACGAAAATTCACGTTAACTTGGGTAAAACAATTCGAATATTAAAAAAAAATCATTGAAAATATATCAAATTTTTGAATAATAATAATAATAATAATAATAATAATAAACAACACTCACACGAACATTACGAATAATATCAATATTGTTGAAATAAATGAGAAACAAAGTAATAGAAAAATACGATACGAAATGTATTATATATATATAATACTTAAAGGTAAGAAAAGGGATAAAAGGAGAACACGAGGCTGTGCGCACGAGCTACGGGCGACGAGCTACGGGCGACGACTGTCGGTGCAGACTTTGCTTTTACTCGCAGTGCACAAAGATGACCCTTCTTCTCGACTCGTACAAGCGCCACGACGATCACCCTCTTACCCTACYACCTTCTCCTTCTCCTTCTTCTTCCTCTTCTACTTCTTCTTCTACTTCTTCTTCTTCTTCTTTGAAGCAACCACTACGGTCACCATTGTAAATGGGTCTCTCTCTCTGAATACCACCACTACCACATGAGTTTCGTAAAAGACACATTGCTGTTGGATCCTCTTCCTCCTCTTCCTCCTCTTCCATCTCTTCTTCCTTCCCCTTTCTTCTCAACGTCTCATTCTTTAAGATGTCTGCGTACCTGCACGTTTCATGTTCTAAGAAAATCCCATCCTCCACCGCCAGCATCATCATCATCTTCACCATCATCATCATCATCGTTTTCGTCGTTGTCCTCCTCCTCTTCCTCCTCATCATCTTCTTCTTCTTCTTCTTTTTCTTCTTCCTCCTCTCATTTTTTGCATCCTCTTCCTTCAGATTTCAAGCTTCTATCTTTTTTATTGTATTATTTTCTCTCCTTGACAGTCGATACCATTTTTAGAAACTCATATATTATCACATAAATCCGACTAATCATCTCTAATCATTGAAATGATGTTTATTATTAATAATAGAAAGTAAATTCGATGTTTTTTTTTAAGTGAAAACTTCTTTAGAATCAGGGTCATTTGAAAAACGTGAAACGAAAGAACGTGAAATTGATGAAACAAAAATAATTAATTAATTAATTAAATTCAATATATATAAATTACGTGTCACGTTGTTTGTCCGCAATGGACTCCTAAACTATTGAACCGATTTTAATCAAATTTTGCGCACTGTGTGCAGTTTCATTCAACTTGAAAGATAGGATAGTTTATATCTCAATTTATAATCGCAATTGACTTAAAAACGTGTGTATCGGACTGATTGTGAGCCACAGCAACGCGTAGCGGGGCACCCCTAGTTCAATATATAATTTAATTCTATATTATTTAATTCTATATATTATTTAATACATTAATAAAATTCTATATATAAAAATTCAATGTCATAATATGTTTGTCCACTAATAATTCCGAAACTACTCAACTTAACTTAATAAAATTGATTTTATTTCACGTGATTTTTTCCAACTTAGCACATAGCACAATTTTTATCTATTGTTATGTAATTTTTTATTACTAATTTAGAGATTTTTATTTAGAGGTTATCTAGGTTCTGTAAGGTTCTTTCAATAGATGGCGCTGTATTATTACAATTCAATTATTTTGAAGCTTGGTTTTCTTTGAAGGTTTCACTTCTACCGTGTGTGATCAGCACACATCTGTTTTTTTTTATAAAAATAATAATCGTTTGTGATCTATTTTTACTTACAATTAGTTTTAATTCTTTCTTGTATCATTAAATTAACAAAAATGATGATAACT